TTTTTTTTTTTTTTTTTTTGAGACATAGTCTCCCTGTCATCCTGGGTTCAGTGCCGTGGAATCATCATAGCAGCTCACAGCAACCTCAGTCTCTTAAGTTCAAGAGATCCACTTGCCTCAGCTTTCCCAGTAGCAAAATGACTGGCTATTTTTTTGTTGCAGTTGTCATTGTTGTTTAGCAGGGCCCAGGTCAGATTCTAACCTGCCTGCCTCGGAATATGTGGCCAGTGCCCTAACCACTGAGCTACAGGCACCGAGTTAAAGATTGGCAATTTTATTTGGTTCAACTAAATATATATACAAATACATATGCGTAACTGTACCAGTGTGTGTGCCTGCTTCGTGTATTTGGCTGCATGTCAGCCTATGTGTATATGAACCTGTGTGTGCCTGAGTGTCTGGGGAGTGGGGCAATTCTAGACTCTAACTCTGAACTGAAGTACCGGGTGTGTGTCTAGGGGCCACAGTTGACAGTGGAAGGGTAGGAAGACTGAGTTGAAGGGAGAGGGCTCCCGCGGATCCCAACTACATGATGATGACAGCGTGCAAAACAAATCAAACTCCCTAGGGCTGCAGGACAGTTGCTCCTCCCCATGCAGCCCTCTCTATGGACAGAGTGGCCTTGGGGTTGGGCTAGGGGTGGTGGCCCAGGGTGATGGGAGCCCTCCAGATAGACCCAAGCCTAGTCCCTGGCTGAGGCATGTCGGGCTCAGGCCCCTTAATGACTGTTATTAAGAGGAAGGAAACCATTTTCCTGTCCAGGAGGTGTGTCAGACGTCTCCCTGGCATCACTCAGCCATCCTGGGGGGCATTTAGTCTTGTCTGTTGTCTTTCAGAAGCTGAGTGGCGCCTGGCCAGGTGACTGTCTTGGGGCGGGGGGGCGTGGCAGCAGAGGTTGGGCTGCAGTCCTATTGCTTGCTGCAGGCTGCTCTGATGCCAACACTGCCACAAACCTTCATTCTGGCCCCTCTGGGTCAGGGGACACAGGACTCCAGCAGAGGAGCCTGGCCCCTCAGGGCTGGTAGGGGAGCCCAAGTGTGCCCAAGTCCCTTTAATCAAGGCAAAATATTCTAGGAGGCTGGTGTCTTGGGTCACTCTCCTTTTCTTTGGAGACAGTCTTAGCAGAGTGCCACGGCGTTGCAGCTCACAGCAATCTCAAACTCTTGGTCTCAAGCAATTCTCTTGCCTCTGCCTCCCAAGTAGCTGGGACTACAGGTGCCACTGAAACGCCCAGCTATTTTTAGAGAGGAGGTCTCTCTCTGGCTCAGGCTGGTCTCAAACCTGAGCCCTCAGCCAATCTACCCACTTCGGCCTCCCAGAGTGAGCCACCGTGCCCGGCCTTCTGCCACTCTGTACCTAAGAGGCAGAGATACAAGGGACGAGTGGTAAAAGATGAGGAAGGTTTCAGGAAGTGCAGAGTGGCAAGCAGGGTGTTCCTGGCTGGAGGAATAGGACAAGGACAAGTCCAAGGAAGGAAGGTGGAGGCTGTGTTACAGGGATAGATGCTGACAGGAAGGCCATCTGGAGCCTTGCTGAGGGAGAGGGCTTTAACCACAGAGATGATGGCACAGAGGGTGAGAAGTATCCAGAGTGGTATTTTTGGATAACTTAGGAAGCAGTCTTGATGAGGAGAGTGGCCCAAGACACTTGCCTTCCAGAAACAACCCAAATAGGTGTAGTTCACTGTTCACTGAGTTCCATGTAGGTCTTCAGGAGGTCACTGTTCTGAGTTCTTATCTCCTCCTGATACCCCAGGCCTGGGGACACAAGGCTGGGCCTACCCAGGGGCTGTGGTTGTGCCACTGGACTGAGTCAGACCTGGGTGGAACAGTGGCTCTGCCACTTAACAGGT